CATTTTGCTGAAATTTCATTGCAGCAATTCAAAATGGTACTCCATAGTTTGCGTGGCCCCACATGCTTATATGCATGCCTGACAATGTCGGGGCATGCTCCTAATGAGACAACAGATGGTGTCCTGGGGTATTTCCTCCCAGATCTGGACAGTGAGGTGCAACCTTGGGGCGTGGGATGGACCATAGCATGATATCCCAGAGGTGTTCTATTGGATTTAGGTCAGGCGAACGTGGGGGCCATTCGATGGTATCAATTCCTTCATTCTCCAGGAACTGCTTGCATACTCTTGCTACATGAGAAACCCAGGACCCACTGCACCAGCCTTGGGTCTGACAATGGGTCCAAGGATTTCATCCCGATACCTAATGGCAGTCAGGGTGCCATTGTCTAGCCTGTGCATCTCTCCATGGATATGCCTCCCCAGACCATAAATGACCCACCACCAAAACCATCATGCTGAATTATGTTACAGGCAGCATAACGTTCTCCATGGCTTCTCCAGACCCTTCTTGTCTGTCACATGTGCTCAGGGTGAACCTGCTCTCATCTGTGAAAAGCACAGGGCACCAGTGGCAGACCTGCCAATTCTGGTGTTCAGTGGCAAATGCCAATCGAGCTCTATGGTGCTGGGAAGTGAGCACATGGGCCTACTAGAGGAAATCTGGCTCTCAGGCCACCCTCATGAAGTTTGTTTCTGATTATTTGGTCAGAAACATTCACACCAGTGGCCTGTTGGAGGTAATTTTGTAGGGCTCTGGCAGTGCTCATCCTGTTCCTCCTTGTACAAAGGAGCAGATATCGGTCCTGCTGATGGGTTAAGGACCTTCTACCGCCCTGTCCAGCTCTTCTAGAATAACTGCCTGTCTCCAGGAATCTCCAACATGCTCTTGGGACTGTGCTGGGAGACACAGCAAACCTTCTGGCAATGGCACGTATTGATGTGCCATCCTGGAGGAGTTAGGCTGCCTGTGTTACCTCTGTAGGGTCCAGGTATCGCCTCATGCTACCAGTAGTGACACTGACCCTAGCCAAATGCAAAACTAGTGAATAACAGTCAGAAAAGGTGAGTAGGGAAAAAAATGTCAGTGGCCTCCACCTGTAAAACCATTCCTGTTATGGGGTTGTGTCATTGTTGCCCATCTAGTTTACCTGTTGTTAATTTAATTTACACCAAAACAGCTGAAACTGATTAACAACCCCCTCTGCTCAGGGGTGTATTTACCACAAGGCAAACACAGCATTTGCCTAGGGCAGCATTTTTCAGGGGGGGCAGCACTGCCCCTCGGAAGAAGGGACAGAAGAGGGGGCACACGCAGCATGGGGAGCTGGTGGGTTCCGAGAGAGGTTGCGGGTTTCATGACAGTGTATGCACAGCCCGACTCTCGTTCCCGGGGATGTCTGGAGCTGTGAAGGTGAGTGTCTTTCTCTCTCTTGCCATGGGGGATGGTGGCTGGTGTATGGGGGGCAGCGGTAGTGAAAAGCTCCCTCGGGTGGGAGTCAGGAGTGTTGTTGGACAATGTCAAGCTCTCTGCAGGGGGCACTGATTTTTGTGTTGCCTAGGGCAGCACAAAACCTAAATACACCACTGCCTCTGCTACTTAACTGACCAGATTAATATTCCAGGAGTTGAAATTACTTGATGCTATACTCTGGTTAAAAAGTATTCCTTTAATATTTTTGAGCAGTGTGTATGTGTTTGTGTGTAAAATAAATATATATATATATATATATATATATATATATATATGTGTGTGTGTGTGTGTGTGTGTGTGTGTGTGTGTATACTGTGTATATATGTATATCTTGCCAAAAGTATTGTACTGGAACACCCCTCCAAATCTTTGGATTCAGGTGTTCCAATCACCTCCATTGCCACAGGTGTATACAATCAAGCACCTAGGCATGCAGACTGCTTCTACAAACATTTGTGAAAGAATGGGTTGCTCTCAGGAGCTCAGTGAATTCAGGCATGGTATTGTGATAGGTTGCCATCTGTGCAATAAGTCCATCTGTGAAAATCCTTACTACTAAATATTCCATGGCCAACTGTTAGTGGTATTATAACAAAGTGGAAGCAACTGGAAACAGCAACTCAGCCACAAAGTGGTAGGCCGTAAAATGACAGAGTGGGGTCAGCGCATGCTGAAGCGCACAGTGCACAGAAGTCACCAACTATCTGCAGTCAATAGCTAAAGACCTCCAAACTTCAGATTAGCACAACAGTGCGTAGAGCGCTTCATGGAATGGGTTTCAAGGCTGAGTAGCTGTATCCAAGCCTTACATCACCAAGTGCAATAAAAAGCCTCAGATACAGTGGTGTAAAGAACACCATCACTGGATTCTAGAGCAGAGGAGACATGTTCTCTGAAGTGACAAATTGCGCTTCTCTGGCCATCTGATTTGACGTGTCTGGGTTTGGCAGTTGCCAGGAGAATGGTACTTGCCTGACTAGTGTATATGTAATGTTCAAGAGAATTGATGAACAAATACAAAAAAGCCATTATGATGATTTATAAATTTAGTTCCTCTATCATTCATAATTCTGTGTCCCAATACTTTTGGTAATTGTGTGTGTGTGTGTGTGTGTGTGTGTGTGTGTGTGTGTGTTTTTGTGTGTGTGTGTATATATATATTGTACATATCAATACCTTTTTTAATGCGGATTCTTTGATCATTTCACTTTAAAAGTTGATTGCTACACATAATATTCCATTAACTCTCTTCCTAAAAGTATATTCTGTTTGTGTGGTGGTTCAGTATAATTTAACTTAATTGGCTTATTTTATATTAGAGATGTGTTAGATCAAAAGTGACTTAAGAGCTAAGGATGTACAGAATGCAGTCGCAGTCATGTCACACTTTCTCTTGTACTTTTTTCATGAATAAATGTGATTGCTAGATAAGTGCTCATTACTGTATGTATCTCCATATCACAGAGTTTTCTCTACAATTGTTTTTGCTGCCATGAATGTTGGACAGACTTCATCTTTAGCACCTGACATGGGAAAAGCCAAAGTATCATCCCAGAGAATCATGAAGCTTCTGGACAGACAACCAGTAATTGACAGTTACAGTGAAGACGGTGAAAAACTGGTAAGACAATATTAAAGTATTTTAATACCTAGCTATCTCAAAAAGAAAAGAAACCAGTAATCAAAAATGTACATGAACCTCTTTGCTCCAAGAGCATGCATATATGCAGCCTCTCAGCGGGTGGTCCTTGGCACTGAGAGGCTACAAATGCATACTGAAATGTAAACAAAGCTGTGGGGAGAGTTCACACCCTGCGGGCTCCCAGCTCAATTACTGGCGCCTAATGGAAAGCTCCCAATTGCTACTTGCAAACGGGAGCTTTCCTATCGTGTGATTTTCTGTGACATCCAACCATGGCGGTTACATGATCATAAACCTCATCCCACCTCCCATCAGAAAACCCCTTAAAGGTCCAGGAGGTGCCGGCATTAAGGAGTTAATTTATAGGTCAGTACTGTGAAAAAAGTGTCCTCTGCACACTTCTTGTGTTATCTCAAGGAGCCCTCCCAGTTCTTATCTTGTCTCCAGGATTAAGCTGGCCATAGATGGATTGAAATTCTGCAGAGACCAACCTAATTTCAATCTATCTATGGTCGTTCCCACTCCACAGAAGTTGATCTAATAATCAATGTCTGTTGAATGTTGAATGGGTCTTTTGGAAAGTTCCCACCATGAGAATACAATGACACACAGCAGGGAGGATTCCTCCATCCACCTCACATGTGTGGTTGGGGGGAATCCATATGCTTTTATGCAATCAGCCATTTGGCTGATCGAAAAAGAATGAATTACCTATGGCCAGCCAGGGACAGGGCTGGCAGCAATTGATGAAAATTAGGAGCTGAGTGAATTTCTGGCAGATCAACAGATGTTTTTCTCTACTTGTGTCTTTAAAGGGATAAAATGTGCATTATTTGCTATTATATAGTAAAGATGTTTTTTGCCCTGACATATGCTTTAAACTCTAAAAAAAAAAAAAAAAAAAAAAAAAAAAAAAGCTATGCACATTTATAAGGCTAAGTGATGTGCTTTGTGAAAAAAAGGAGAGACCGGTCACATGTTTTCCAGCTCTCCTCCATTCACAAAGTTTTCCGTGTGATGGTTAACCCCATAAAGTGCCACAGGCTCAATACTTTGCCTGCATTTTACGCACTAGATACAAAAACATAGGCCATGGTAGTGTGAAATACCATTTATAAATAAGCCCCTAAGTGGGTAGGATGTTAACCTACTGACCTACATGTAAATATTACATTACCCAGAGATCTCTTCTCCTTATGAATAGGGACACTTACAATGTCTGTACAACCATGTTTCAATATGAAGTTTAATGCCTTTTTTGTTTACTAATCAGAAATTTTAGAGAAATGAGTCTTTCAGACCCTCCTTTTATGTAGCCCTTATGTATGAGATAATAGTCACCTGATCCAATGGTTTTGCTGAAAGATAGAAAAGGAAATATTTTCATATCTTTAAGGGTAGGCAAATGTCTACTGGTCTCAGGGTGAACATTGATTGAATAAACTAAAAACCTTCCCAAATCACTGCAGTTCTTCCATAAGATAAGTAGCAGCAGCATCTGCCTGTACCATTCTCCAGACCGAGGACAATATTTGTTGCCCTTGGGGCAAACGGATTGTTGCTGCATGTCCACCCATCCTCCAAAGTCTTTGGGAAACATTAGAGTCCTTTAGGTTACCAGGCAATAGGTTTTGTCTTACCAGGAAAAATTACATATTTCAAAGAATAAGGTGCAGTAACCCATAGCAGCCATTCTAGTTTTCATCTGGTAACACCACTAAGAACTACAGACATATCTCTGATTAATGGATTTCACACAATATTTTTGCATAATAGGTAATAAAGGCTAAGCTTCCATATTAAATAAAATACATGTACTTTATGTTGTAGAGTGCATTTGAAGGAAACCTTGAATTCAAAGATATCAAGTTTGTGTACCCAACAAGACCAAAAGTCCAGGTTCTTCAGGGATTGAATGTGAAAGTTACCAAAGGACAAACCCTAGCTCTGGTGGGCAGCAGTGGGTGTGGAAAGAGTACATCTGTTCAGCTGCTGGAGAGGTTCTACGATCCTGTTGATGGAAAAGTGGTAAGCAAAAATGATACATGCATCAACCAGAAATATGTGTATATATACCAGGTACATACCAGTTGTTAACGGTCTTGAAAGGCATACAGTAGGTGTTACCTTTCAAGTTCAGTGTTTGGGGGGGGGGGGGGGTCACAGCTTGTAACTTCTCTCAGACAGACAAAAAATGTCTAACTTGGAGGACAATGACATAGCCATTCACATCTCATTGGCTTTAATTCTACAGAAGTAGTTCCTAGCCACGAGGATGCATCCACGTAGCATCCATATAGTGCCCTGTTGAAGTGCACTCTGCCAGTGACCTTAAAGTGGATTTTTACCTACCTTCCTGTCTGCCCCTGTACAGTGAGCTGTGCACGCGAAGCTCACTCTAGAGATTCAGCAATGTCTAGGCCGACTGAACTCCCACAATGCGCAGGAGTGATGTCATATTGATCCTGCCAATGAAATGGCTGGTGCTCGATACCTGGAAGCTGTCCGTTCAAAGATGTCAGTGGACAGCAGAGTTCCAGGATGTCACAACGCTGTAGCCAGGGTGAATATAGTGCTGCTTTAACGCAAACCTGTGCGTTTTTGCGATGCAGAGCAAAGCAACAAGCTTGCTTTATTTCCTCTCTACCCAGAAGAACATACTCACCTTTCTTTTGCTACCCTGCCAGTGTGGCAGCAAAAAAGAATACCTAGTACTTCCAGGTATGATGAAGAATGTCACCTTTTCCTTGTGACAGTGCTGTGCCAATCACCAAGTGCTGTCACACTGGGGAGTCTATAGCCTTGTGTTAGCTATGACTTAGATGGCTTGTCCTGTCCCTACAGCCAAGCAGCAGGAAAGCAAAGGAAAGGTGACTATGTGCTGCTGGGGAGGCAGGGACTAAAGTGCCTTACAGGGGTGAAGCACGGGTTCACTTTTAAAATTGTGGCTTGAGGTTAACAAGATCCTGGATGATAATTTTACTATAAAATCCAGACATTCATATTTGATGAGTTCTGTCAACTGGTTTCATGTGTTACATGTTTTTTGGATCCTCCCATTCTGTAAGACAGCTGGCAAGGTCCAGTTTATAGCAATAATGCTTTAATCCCTAATTATCCTTTTATTTAATAATAAAGAAAAAATTATTTCAGTTTAACACTAGTTGAAAAGCACATTTTAAAATACCAGTTGCATAATTTATTAATAGTTATGTAACTAATCAATCTGCAGTAACAAAAAAGGCTATTTTGCAAACTTTCCTTCCACTCCTATAAATTATTCCATGAACAGGCATATTGCGCTTCAAAAATGAGAATGGCAATTTATAAAATTACATCCGCTGATGGATTCCTATTTTTATGGATTTGCACATTAATCAAACATTAGCGTTTTAGCACCGAATGTAATATGCCGCATGTAGTTATGTATTGAACTTCGCAGAGCAATCCTTTAAGATAATATATATTTAATAATCAGGGCTTTAGCTTTCTTGTTATTACCCTGCCAATGAGGAAACCTAAGTAAACTGCTTCTGGACAGCATGACACACAGCAACAAATAACACCGACAGCTACTTGAAAAGCAAACCTTTAACACTGGCTACAAAATGTGTTTAATCATGGAAATCTGTATTCAATGTAATAATTTGCTAGGCAAATACCTTCATGTACTTAGCAGCCTCTGGCCATCTGATGCCCATGTTGCCTACAGTTCAATAGAAATCCATACTTCATTCATAGATCCAAGATGTTCTATGGCTCACAGTCTGGAGATTAGCTGTAACTGACTGCAGAGACTTTCTGTTGATGCAGATAATTGGACAAGGTTTAATTGCTGTATGGTGATTATTAATTGAATCTCTTGCTGGCGATTTCAAGTTTAGTTAAACAAAAAAGTTTTACTATTTGAAAATGAAAAAGCTCTCTAGTTGGCTTGAATGACCCATATTTTATGCACCAAGCAGTTATAGCAACAGCCCACCCAAAGATAACCTGTCAGTGATGGGTGAATAATGGTGGACTGGTGTAACCATAGGAATCCTATACCTGTCAGCAGCAAGCTCTGATCAATGAAGTTACTTTTCACTCCAAAAGTAGGCTTCACCCTCCCAATGCAAACCCTGCAGTCTGATTGCTCCAGCTGTATTCTCCAAAATGTAAAAAGTGCAACAGAGAGCGGCAATGGCCCATTGTAACCTGAAAACTTGGGAGAAGGGCTTTCACCAATGTTGGGTGACTATCACGGTTTTGAAGCTGACATTCCAGGGAACACTTGTGCTTCCCCGATTTCACCTCGGCAGGGCTGATCTTTGAAGCCTTCATGCTGCATCACTTAGCCAAGGCTATGTAGTCAGTGATGGCATTGTAGTGCATGTAATGCAAGTGTGTTTTAATTCCGACAGTTGATGAGAGTATTTGTCCAATGAGCAGGCTAGAGGTGGAGAGGTGGCATAGGACTCTGCATTGCTTAACCAGTCTGTCGCCCTCCTGGCTGAGCTATGTGGTAGAGTTGTGTAAGTTGCAAAGTTGGCTGAAGAGAATTTGCCAGCATCAGGATTGCTAGTAACACAGGGAAGATACCTACCCCCTTTGTATGACTTGCTTCCTTGACAGTTTCTGCAGTGAGGTAACACTCACCAGCAATTCTGTTTCTTCATCAAGGAAAGTAGACAGACACAGGGTAGGGAGACATATAGGCAGGAGAGTGCTTTCACTCCATGCTTTATCCTCTGAAACTATCCTGCCATTGGCAAGTTTGTCACCAGCGACAGGATCACCAGTATGGCATGGCCCCAACAGTTCTGACATTTTGTAGACTGAAATATTATTAGTTACTATGCAACTTCACTTAGCCACTTGGCACACAACCAGAAATGGTAAACATTGCTTCTACAGTAGCTCTACCAAGCTTGTCATTCACAGCAAATGGGCACATTATTCCTCTGGGTTGACATGTGTGCATCAAACCAATGATAAGCACTTTCAAAATATGCAGGAAATACAGTATTGAAGATATACAGTAGTGAAAACTTTGTGCTAAGCAGACCTTCTATCTCCTTTTTAAAGCTTTCAGATGGAATAGACACAAAAACGCTGAATTTAAAGTGGCTGCGATCCCAAATGGGAATTGTGTCTCAGGAGCCCATGCTGTTTGACTGCAGTATTTCTGAAAATATTCAGTATGGCGCTCTGGACAGAGAAGTGACACAAGAAGAAATTGTAGAAGCTGCAATGGCTGCAAATATCCACACTTTCATTGAAAACCTTCCAGATGTAAGTAAAAAAAAAAAAAAACTTTTTAATATGTTTCAGCAGAAGTGATTTGGACAAAAGGATAAATGTGTTAAAGGAGATGTTCAGATGTTCACCTTTCATAACGTTACATCCATATTCAGGGTGTAATGTGTTATGAATACGCTGCCCCCCCCCCCCCCCCACTTTGACTGCTGGCAGAGGATCTTCTCTTCCCCCGCTAGCTGTCAAAATTTAAAAAAATGAGGCTTGCCCGCCTGGCTGCCTCACTCATTTACAGTCGTCTGTGAATGAGAAACTACAAGTCTTGACAGTCTTAGTGGCTGTCAACTTCTAATTCTCAATGGACTACCACAGTGCTGTGGAACTCCATGGCAGTTCAATAATTCTTCCTGTCAGTATATCTACTTGCTCATACATCCCATACTGACAGATCGGCAGGAGACCTGCATGGCACCAGTGATCTGGTGATTGCTGGTGCAATGGTTTACAGCCTCCTGCAAAAAAAACTAACAAATGCAATTTTTACCTGCAAAAAAAGTGCATTTATTATTTTGCTAAAAAGGTGAACTTATTGGTTTTTTTTAAGGCATTGCTATGCATACAGGGGAGAAATGTTTTGCTTGACGCTGCACTTAATGCAAGGGTAGGTTGCAAATTCTGGACTGGGATTTCTGATTGCACCTTTGGGTTAATATGAGCTACTGTCGCCATTTATTCTCATTAGCCTTGCCTGTATATCTGTGAAACTTCTCATTTATCTGGGTCATGGTATAGCTAGTTATAGTTAGTTACGTTCAACTGGACTTGTTTAGAAGGGTTGAAGATATTTTACCACTAATGCAAGTGACCATTTCAGAACAATTTCAATGAGTGGTGATAAATCTTTATTAACCACTTAACAACCACCCACCTACAATATACTGCGATGGGCGGCCGCTTTAGGTGAAGGTACATACCTGTACATCACTGCTTACTTCCGGGGTTATGGGCGTACGCATGCTTGCCCCCCGGATGGCAGCCGCTATGATTGTACACAGTAGGAGCCTGTTGGCAAGTCCCAGCCAATGATTCAAAGCTGGGACCTACTGATCGGCTGTGTACAATCAACACAGAACCCTGTACAGAACTTTTCAGGCATGAGAAACTTGGAGATCTTGGTAAAAGCAGCACACTTTACACACATTACACATAGTTGGGCACACATTTAACCCCTTGATAACCCTCGATGTTAACCCCTTCACATCCATTGTCATTAATACAGGGACAGTGTATAGTAAGATCATTGATCACTGTATTACTGTCACTGGTGATGTCAGTGACAGTCATTTCCCCTCAGTGTCATTAGTGTCAGATTGCCCGCAATACTATCACAGTACCATTATAAGTCATTGATCATTATAAAAAATAATAAAATAAAATTTCAGTATATGCCATAGTTTGTAGGCACTATAATTTTTCATGCAAACCAGTCAATATATAAAACACAAATGTAGCAGAATATATTTTGGCCAAAATTTATGAAGAAATTTTTTTTTTTTTATATTTTTTTTTTTTATCGGAAATGTTTTACAGCAGAAAGTAGAAAATATATTTTTATTTCAAACTTTTTGGTCTTTTTTCATTTATATATCTCAAAAAATAAACCCAATGGTGATCAAATCCCACCAAAAGAAAGCTCTCTTTATGTGGAAAAAATGCTATTAATTTCGTTGAGTGAAGCATTGCACGACTGCACAATTACCAGTTAAAATAGCGCAGTGCAGCATAAAATGGCCTGGTCAGGAAGGGGGTAAAGTCATCTGGAGCTCAAGTGGTTAAAAAAAAGCACATAAATGTGACTATTATTAGCTAACCCTTGCCTAGCACAGACATATACAGACATATCTGGAATTTGATAGACAGGTGTTTTTACCAGAACTGTGGACTGTGTCCACCTTTTTTAGCCACTGCAAAGAGGTAATAAAAACAGATGGCTAGATATAAATGGTATATTTGTATTTTATATCTACATTGAAAGTATATACATGTTTACATTTCACCATTTTAGAAATACAACACACGTGTGGGTGATAAAGGTGCTCAACTCTCAGGAGGACAGAAGCAGAGAATTGCCATTGCCCGAGCCTTGATACGGAAACCCAAAGTTCTGCTGCTGGATGAGGCAACATCTGCTCTTGACACAGAAAGTGAAAAGGTTAGTTTTGTTTTCAAATGTATGCAGTGGAGGACATTTGTCTCTAGAGATCACCATTGTTAGAAGCAGAAATAAATAAGCATTGAGTTTAAAAGCAAGTCTTACAGCCTCCTAAAACTGGTGCCACATTTAATATTACTCCCAGTAAACTCCATTATAAAATGAAGAGAAAACATGCAAGAAAGTGTGAAATAAATAAACCAATGTGTTTACCTAGCAGACGTCATTGTAATAATTATTTTAGCAAGGCAGGGGAAATTTTGATTACTGGCTGGTTGGGCACTAAGGCTCTTAAGCAGCCATTCTCAGCCAAGATGGTGGTAAATTTACTTACACACATTCAGCTCTGCAGTCCCTTGTGTTTCCAACATATCCTTTACATAACCAAAGCAATGTAGTATTACAGTGTTTGTGAATGACAACAGTATTCAATTTCCCGAACCCATGTGTTGTGCCTTATGGCCAAATATATTTCATTATTTAGAATTTAACATTATATCTCTGAGATCTTCTTATAAACCACTCATGAACAGATGTGCCGTTTAGGCAGACTGAATATGGGAAATGACTAAAGATTACACTTTTGCACAGTTACATTTTAATGAAAATATTTTATGCTCTGAAGAGTGAACTTTCAATTGTTCTGCCAAATGAAGCAGGATAATGTGTAAAATGTGTTTGACTTTTTAAATGTACAGATTGTGCAGAAGGCTCTGGATGATGCCAGACAAGGCAGGACATGTGTGGTCATCGCACATCGACTCACGACAATACAGAACGCTGACATCATTGCAGTCATCCAGAACGGAAGGGTCATTGAACAAGGGACGCACACCCAGCTGCTGGCCAAACAAGGAGCATATTATGCTCTTGTAAATTCCCAAGTAACTAACTGATAAAGATATTTTGTATTCATGAGCTAAATTTATACTTGCTATGAAGAAATGTAGTCTCAGAACAAAAGGCCACAGCATATTATTGCTGTCTGCAAACTGTGAAAAATCTGAGCATAGATTTTGCTGGTAGAAAGACGAGGCAGGCCCCCCAACTGAGAGTATTATGGCTAACTGAATTTAATACCCCAACTGGTTCTGGTCTAGGAACTGTGATTTAACGTACACTTTGTAATGAAGCAAACTGATAGATGTATGAGTTAGCATGACCATCTAAATGTATCAGTAACCTCTAATATTCTCTTTATCATACTTTTCTAACAAATACTACACCTTTTTCTTGACTGGAAGTACTTTTATAAGGCACATTAGATTTTGCAAGATTGTTGTTTTTATTATATTGTATAACTCTGTGACCATGCTCTTATTATCTGTCTTCTATATAGACAACGGTCACATCTAGGTTTATTTAATAATCAAAATAATAATCATTTATTCAATAATCATTAACGGTGTACAGTAAACCTGAGCAACAGACCAGCCATCATATTCACCAAGCCAATGGATAGTTAGATATACATTAAACATCATAAAATGTGTTTTCACATAAAATTAGCATTCATTCCCAGATGTGTTTTGAGATCAGCTTCCCGTAATCCTCTCTACAGCAGCACTTAGTCATGGAGAGGGGCAGCAGCTTGAGCCAATGAGGAATTAGGGCCCGACTGCTTCGTACATCATTTTTACCAGAGGGGAGAGCAGAAGGATAATCAACTTACTGTAGTTTCTTCATTGATTAATCACAGGCTATGTAGGATACTAGACCAGGCTGTATAGCTAGTCTTTAGAGAGCCCCAAGACCTTGCTATGGAGGGTGGTTGGGTGCCTGGATTACAATACTGGTTAAATAGAGCTATAAATGTTTTGGCAGTTCACACATATATGCATTTCAACTGTGTATTTAGATGTATGCAATAAAGTAGAGTCGGACTGCTACGGATTACAGCAATTTGCACATGACGAATGTTAAAAAAAAAAATATTGTTTCTGTTTACATTTGTGGATTTTTAGATGTCAAATGTGAATATTAGGACATGATCGTATAACATTTCTATGCTTTGTGTACTGTATGGTTCATGACATTGGTTTTTAAGTATTAAAAACCAATCTCTTTCTTTTGATTGACACCACTCAGTAGTTAGTGTCTCCGTGCCTTTTCATGACAACGGTACCATACTTTCACAGGGATGGGGTGAGGGCAAAATATTTGTTCTACATTAGAAAGTCCACCAGGAAGGAATTGTACATCCATATAAGAAATCCCTTTAGATGTGCTTAGTGCTCTGTTGATTTTAACTTTCAGCTTTGATCTCAGATAAAAGGCAACTGCACTTCCAAAGGCATTAAACATCTTAGATAAATCATCCTGTGGCCATGCCAGAGAGGTTTCCGCACAAGTTTTAAGCTCCACCCACCCTATAGATCTCATCCATGTTTCTTAGATTATCTATTTATATTTAATTAACAAGAACCCAGCATGAGTTAGTTTCATAACTGAGGCACTGGAACTCTGCTGGGGAGGCCTCACCACTGCAGTTCATGACAGATTCAGTATAGGCAGCTTGTAAAACTTTTACCCCAGCAGCTTCTACTAAAAACTAAAATATCAGTTTTGGGAGCACTTAGCCTTTGACCCACACATTGTGCTGCCTAACGTACTGTAAATATGTTATGCTTTTATGATTTCTATCAGTACAATGTGCATGCTAAACCAAAAGCTATTTGTATTATGGGTCTTTGTGATATTTGTATAGATATTGTATACAGTTATTAAATATTTTTGTACATACCTTTTGAAATATTGTATAATTAATAAAAACCTGTATTAGCTTGTATTTTTAATGTTGGAGTCTGCGTCTTTCTTCAAGAAAAAATGCAAAATAGGCATGCCGCTGGTATGGCAACAGTGCTATATATTGCTTGCATAATAATTTTCAGAACATAAAAGACCAAACTCAGTACAATAACTGCTCTTACAGCTTAGAAGTGCATTCAATGTGTTTCGCATTCTGCAGCCACTGAAAATTCTACATGCCAAGTGTTTATCAAAAGAATTTTTCACCTACTTTTTTATATAGAAATATGTTCATCCTGATGGTAACCTCTTCTCATTTAACTAAGCTGTATACAGAAAAAATATATATAAAGCTATAACAAGCAGTCTGTTTAGCATACATTTTAGTCATGTAAGGCTTTATTTATTCATGTGTCTGAAGAAAATGATGGTGCCTGGAAAAAAACAAATCCACACTTTTATTCTCCTACTGTGGTATAGGAAAATGAATAGTCTTTTGTGTTACTATAGGCAACAAGGTAAATAAGGCCACTGATGATCTTTCCAACAATAGTAGAATGTTCTTTATTTCGCTTGTCGCTAGTACCTATCCAAGCCACACAAATAGCTAATAAATACGACAAGCGAAATAAAATAGCTGCTGATGAAAACAAACATGTCGGGATAGAAATAGAAGAGCACACATTTTTAAAGTGTAAGTAAAGGCAACCTTTTTTTAACCACAGGGAAGAGTTAGACCCTACCTTGGATTTTTATTGCTGTCCCCACTGGGGAAATTCCCCTCTCTAGTTGTCCTGGTGACCATTGTCACCCGGGTGGAAAGTGAGGGGAAATTCAAAATTGAGTCTTCACCAGAGCAAGAGCTGAGGGGGGTATTAAATCCAACAGGTACAAACTGTCTATAAGAGGAATTCCCCTTACCTTGGTGCAACTGTCTTTTTTACTTTTCTCCAAGGCAAGAAGTAAAGGGAATCTCCCTTCTCCCTAGCAGGGCAAAGTCAGAAAAAAGCAACCTGTCAAGGGTTTTAAACCTTCCTTACTCTATCCAAAACTAATCTGAGTTGGATTTTTAAACACTTTAACTAATTTTTAAAGGCATGCTCTAGGGTTGTCATCCTTATCCTTCCTTTTCTTCTTCGTAAGTCACTGAGCTGGAACAAAGATATACAGGTGAAACTCGAAAAATTAGAATATTGTGCAAAAGTTAATTTATTTCAGTAATGCAACTTAAAAGGTGAAACTAATCTATGAGATAGACTCATTACATTCAAAGCAAGAGAGTTCAAGCCGTGATTTGTCATAATTGTGATGATTATGGCTTACAGATCATGAAAACCCCAAATCCACAATCTCAGAAAATTAGAATATTGTGAACAGGTGCAATATTCTCTGCTCAAAGTGTCCCACTCTAATCAGCTAATTAAGCCATAACACCTGCAAAGGGTTCCTGAGCCTTTAAATGGTCTCTCAGTCTGGTTCAGTAGGAATCACAATCATGGGAAAGACTGCTGAGGTGACAGTTGTGCAGAAAACCATCATTGACACCCTCCATAAGGAGGGAAAGCCTCAAAAGGTAATTGCAAAAGATGGTGGATGTCCCAAAGTGGTGTATCAAAGCACATTAATAGAAAGTTATGTGGAAGGGAAAAGTGTGGAAGCAAAAGGTGCACAAGCAGCAGGGATGACTGCAGCCTGGAGATGATTGTCAGGAAAAGGCCATTCAAAAGTGTTGGGGACTTTCACAAGGAGTGGACTGAGGCTGGAGTCAGTGCATCAAGAGCCACCACACACAGACGGATCCTGGACATGGGCTTCAAATGTCGTATTCCTCTTGTCAAGCCGCTCCTGAACAACAAATGTCAGCAGGATCTTACCTGGGCTAAAGAAAAACAGACCTGGTCTGACCTCAGTGGTCCAAAGTCCTCTTTTCTGATGAGAGCAATTTTTGCATCTCATTTGGAAACCAAGGACCCAGAGTATGGAGGAGGAATGGAGAGGCACACACTGAAAGATGCTTGAAGTCCAGTGTGAAGTTTCCACAGTCTGTGTTGATTTGGGGAGCCATGTCATCTGCTGGTGTTGGTCCACTGTGCTTCATTAAGTCCAGGGTCAACGCAGCCATCTACCAGGAGATTTTAGAGCACTTCATGCTTCCTTCCACAGACTAGCTTTATGGGGATGCTGACTTCATTTTCCAGCAGGACTTGGCACCTGCCCACACTGCCAAAAGCACCAAAACCTGGTTCAATGACCGTGGGATTACTGTACTTGGCCAGCAAACTCGCCTGACCTGAACCCCATAGAGAATCTATCGG